ATGATGGGTCAGGTTATATGTCATCTTGACTAGACCATGATTCTCAGTGGTTTGGCAGTTATGTAATGATATAATTTGGCAGTGTAATGATGTAATTTGGCAGTTATATAATGATGTAGTCGTCCTCCATTTTGTGATCTGATGTGGTCATCCTGCATTTTTGCATAATGCTGATTTCGCATAACCATCTGATATTTGGAACCTAACCATGTCAATAAGTGAGGAGAGGGTGTACTCGAATAAGGCAGTATACTGTAATAGCCCCTTTATCTGATTTATATCCTTTAATCCTCTAATCACTCTCTGAGGTACATAATATTAAATATCCCCATTCACAGATGAGGAAAAGGAACAGAAAGTTTAAATAACTTACCTAAATTATTAGTTGGCAGAGCCAGAATTTGAATTCAGGCAGTTGGGAGTCCAAAGCCATACCAGTTACCAGTTGCCAAGTTGATTCTTATTCATGGAGATCCTATGTGTGTCAGAGTAGAACTGTGCTCTATAGAGTTTTTTTGTTTTGTTTTCTATTATACTTTAACCCCAAACCAACCCATTGTCGTCGAGTCAATTCTGACTCAAAGCTACCCTATAGGACAGAGTAAAACTGCCTCATAGGGTTTCCAAGGAGCGGCTGGTGGATTCAAACTGCCAATCTTTTGGTTAGCAGCTGAGCTCTTAACCACTGCACCACCAGTGCTCCCATTGTGCTTTAGGTGAAAGTTTACAGAGCAAATTAGTTTCCCATTTAATAACTTACACACAAATTGTTCTGTGACACTGGTTGCAATCGTGCAGTGTATCAGCACTCTCCTCATTATCACCCCGAGTTCCCCATTTTCATTCATCTGGTTTTCCTGTCCCTTCCTGCCTTCTCATCTTTCCTTTTGGGCTGATGTTGCCCTTTTGATCTCATACAGTTGATTGTTCTAAGGAGCACTTTCCTCACGAGTGTTACTGTTTATTTTATAGACCTGTCTATTATTTGGCTGAAAAGTGATCTCCGGGAGTGTCTTTACTTCCACGTTAGAAGGCTGTCTAAAGACCATAGTCTCGGGGGTTCCTCCAGTCTCTCTCAGACCAGTAAGTCTGGTCTTTTTTTATGAATTTGAATTTTGTTCTACATTTTTTTTCTGCACTCTAACTGGGACCTTCTGTTGTGATCCTGGTCAGAGCAGTCAGTATTGGTAGCTGGGCACCATCTAGTTCTTCTGGTCTCAGAGTAGTGTAGGCTGTGGTTCCTGTGGCCCATTAGTCCTTTGGACTAATTACTTCCTTGAGTCTTTGGCTTTCTCTGGACAGAAAGAGACCAATAGTTGTCTCTTGGATGGCTACTCTCAAGCTTTTAAGACTCCAGTCACTACTCACCTAAGTAGGATGTAGAACACTGTCTTTATGAACTATTTTATGCCAGTTGACCTAGATGTCCCCCAGGACTTTGGTCCCTAGCCTCCAAGCCCAACAACTCAGTCCCGCAAGGAACTGTGTCTGGGAAGTTTTCATGGCTGTGTCCCCGTGTGCTCTATTGTATGTATGAAGATACATGTAGCCCGTACAAATTCCATAGGGTTTTTAATAGCCAATTTTTTAGAAATAAATCACCAGGACTTTTTTCTAAGATGCCTATGGTCAGACTACAACTCCAGCCTTTTGGTCAGTAGCTGACTGCGTTAACTATTTGCACTACCCAGGGACTGCTCCTAATGCTTGTTGTGGTTGTTGTGTGCCTTCAGTCCCTTCTGACTCATAGTGACCCTGTAAGGCAGAGTAGAACTGCCCCATAATGTTTCCAAGGCTATAATCGTTACGGAAGCAGACTGCCACGTCTTTCTCCTGCGGAGCTGCTGGTAGGTTCGAATCACCAACATCCTGGTTAGCAGCCAAGTGCTTAACCACTGTGCTACCAGGAACTCCCTCTGATACTTAGGCAGGCTTAAACATTTAAGCCTTACTACAAAGACTATGGGCTCTGACAGAGAAATCTTGGTTCATATCTGGGCTGAGACATATTATGCAGGGTACGTTACATTCTTAATATCTCAGAAACTCTGTTTCTTAATCTGTAAAACCTACTTTTACAGATTAAATAAGATTTAAATGAGATAATGCTTATAAAGTACCTAGCAAATGACTCACATGGTGTAGGAGCTCAGTAAATGGTCTCTTATTAGTTTAACTTCTTTTATGGATTGCTGTTATTAGAAAACATTTAATGAGAATCCATTCTGACATGCATGTGTCTTTTACATACTGTACAGAAACAATTCATGAGGATATCATTCCTCCCTCTTGAGGATTTACATATTGTAGAATTTATTTACTCTTTTATAAATTCAAAATAAAGTAAATGTCTCATATGGGACAAGTACTGGTTAGGAGATGCTGGAAATATAAATAAAAGAAGTATATATGTAAAGAAATTATTTTGATAAAATTTATGAGTGCTGTTACAAAAATATCTGCAAAGTAGACTGGAAGTATAGTGGAGGGAAGAATTTGATCTGCTTGGAAGAATTAGGAAAACTTCACTGAGAGAAGACCTGTATTTTGAGTCCTGTAAGATACCAAAAGTTGGAGACAAAGAAGAAGGATTGGTAGTTGGAAAATATGGCCTTGGTGATAGAAACGACGCCGGAGATTGCATGATAGTTTTTTGCAAGACCAACGACTTCTTCATTGCAAATACCTTTTTTCACCAACATAAACGGCGACTATACATGTGGACCTCGCCAGATGGAATACACAGGAATCAAATCGACTATATCTGTGGAAAGAGACAATGGAAAAGCTCAATATCGTCAGTCATAACAAGGCCAGGGGCTGACTGTGGAACAGATCATCAATTGCTCATATGCAAGTTCAAGTTGAAACTGAAGAAAATTAGAACAAGTCCATGAGAGCCAAAGTATGACCTTGAGCATATCCCAGCTGAATTTAGAGACCATCTCAAGAATAGATTTGACATGTTGAACACTAATGACCAAAGACCAGGTGAGTTGTAGAATGACATCAAGGACATCATACATGAAGAAAGCAAGAGACCATTAAAAAGACAAGAAAGAAAGAAAAGACCAAAATGGTTGTCAGAAGAGACTCTGAAACTTGCTCTTGAACGTTGAGTAGCTAAAGTGAAATGAAGAAATGATGAAGTAAAAGAGCTGAATAGAAGATTTCAAAGGGCAACTTGAGAAGACAAAGTATTATAATGACATGTGCAAAGACCTGGAGATAGAAAACCAAAAGGGGAGAACCCGCTCAGCATTTCTCAAGCTGAAAGAACTGAAGAAAAAATTCAACCCTCCAGTTGTAATATTGAAGGATTCTACAGGGAAAATATTAAACGATGCAGGAAACTTCAAAAGAAGATGGAAGGAATACACAGAGTAACTATACCAAAAAGAATTGGTTGACATTCAGCCATTTCAAGAGGTAGCATATGATCAGGAACCGATGGTACTTAAGGAAGAAGTCCAAGCTGCACTGAAGGCATTGGCAAAAAACAAGGCTCCAGGAATTGACGGAATAACAGTTGAGATGTTTCAGCAAACGGATTCAGCACTGGGAGTGCTCACTTGCCTATGTCAAGAAATTTGAAAGACAGCTGCCTGGCCAACCGACCGGAAGAGATCCATATTTGTGCCTGTTCCCAAGAAAGGTTATCCAACTGAATGCAGAAACTATTGAACAGTATCATTAGTATCACACACAAGTAGAATTTTGCTGAAGATCATTCAAAAGCGACTGTAGCAGTATATCGACGGGGAACTGCCAGAAATTCAAGCCGGATTCAGAAGAGAACGTGAAACCAGGGATATCCACTGCTGATGTCAAATAGATCTAGGCTGAAAGCTGAGAATACCAGAAAGATGTTTACCTGTGTTTTATTGACTACGCAAAGGCTTTTGACTGTGTGGATCATAACAAATTATGGATAACATTGTGAAGAATGAGAATTCCAGAAAGCTTAATTGTGCTCATGAGATCAGGAAGCAGTCGTTCAAACAGAACAAGGGGATACTCCGTGGTTTAGTCAGAAAAGGTATGCGTCAGGGTCGTATCCTTTCACCATACCTATTCAGTCTGTATGCTAAGCAAGTAATCCGAGAAGCCGGACTCTGTGAAGAAGAATGGGTCATCAGGATTAAAGGAAGACTCATTAACAACTTGCTATATGCAGATGACACAACCTTCCTTGCTAAAAGTGAAGAGGACTTGAAGCACTTACTGATGAAGCTAAAAGACCACAGCCTTCAGTATGGACTACACCTCAATGTAAAGAAAACAAAAATCTTCACAACTGGACAAAGAAGCAACATCATGATAAGTGGAGAAAAGATTGACATTGTCAAGGATTTCATTTTACTTGGATCCACAGTCAGCACCCATGGAAGCAGCAGTTAAGAAATCAAGTGACGCGTTGCATTGGGAAAATCTGCTGCAAAAGACCTCTTTAAAGTGTTGAAAGCACTTAGTTGAAGAGTAAGGTGCACCTGACCCAAGCCATGGTGTTTTCATGTGAATAAGGAAGACTAAAGAAGAATTGACACCTTTAAATTGTGGTGTTGGCGAAGAATATTAAATATACCATGGCCTGCCAAATGAACAAACAAATCCATCTTGGAAGAAGTACAACTAGAATGCTCTTTAGAAGCAAGGATGGGGAAACTGCGTCTTACATACTTTGGACATGTTATCAGGAGGGATCAGTCCCTGGAGAAGGACATCATGCTTGGTAAAGTAGAGGGCCAGCAAAAAATAGGAAGACCCTCAACAAGATGGATTGACACAGTGGCTGCAACAATGGACTCAAGTATAACAAAGATTGTGAGGATGGCGCAGGACCAGGCAGTGTTTCATTCTGTTGTACATAGGGTCGTTATGAGTTGGAACCAACTTGATGGCATCTAACAACAACAACAGGATGCCTAGAAGTTCTTCAGGTAAAGAAAAAAAAAACCCAAACCCATTGCCATCCAGTCGATGCCGGCTCATAGCGACCCTATTGGACATACTAGAACTGCCCCACAGGGTTTCCAAGGAGCACCTGGTGGATTTGAACTGCTGACCTTTAAGGGAGAGTTTTTTAAGAAGAGGATAGTTGTTCAGAGACTGGATGAAAGAACAAGTGTTTGAGACAGTTCATGGCAGGAAATTTAGGGTGGGGCCAGATTCTGAGAGGCTATTCTAAGTGAAGGAATTGGACTGTAACCTCTATGAGGTAGGGAGTCAAACTTTACAACTGGGGAAGGAATACTACAGTTTATTAAAATATGTGCTGTGTGGAGGATAGATTACAGAGTTGGGAGAATCTAAAGCCTTTCCCTATCAGTTAGGAGGCAGAGTGATAGAGATAAGACTGGTATGAGAATTGAACAGTAAATACCGAACAAGTATAATTAGTGTGTATTGATATTCTGTATAGTTTATAGGTCCATAGTATATAATAAACTTACCTGGAAGTGGCTGCAATTTCATGTTTAGAAAGGGTGGTGGTTAAAGCAAAAACTGCACAGTAGGTAACTGAATTCTGATGTTGGAATCTTGTCCTTAGGGAGGTATGGTAATCCTCCATTAATTACCCAAGCACAGTTAACCGCTAGGGTTAAAAATAATTTTAAAATTCTTGACCGTTTGTCAGACCGTAAGTCCATAAAACCCAGATCACTCTATATGTTCTATTAAGTTTCAGTTAAATATTTTCGTTGGTAAACACATTTCTAAAATGTTGAGCAGTTGTGAATGCTACAAAGGAAAATGTTTTAGGTTTATCCTCAGCCTGAATTAAAGAGCTAACCATCATTCTTGCGTACCCTTTTACACTTTAATACTTGAAAAATTGTTGGAAAATGCTGTAACCTTTTTATTAATGTTAGTAGTAGTCTACTTGAAAATAGTCCAGTATGAACAAAACTTAAAATTGGGAATTTTTTCTAGCTTATAAACTTTATATCTAATTATCCGTTGTTAATATTTTAGGTTGTAAAAAAAAGGCTAATAAAAATAGTGACAATCTCTACTTTCTTTTGCATTTTATATCCTTTAAAATAGTAAAAATCAGGATTAGATTCTAAGTAAAATAAGCAATCGTAGAAGAGTTACTTTGTAATATTGGTCAAGTTCTTACCTTTCCTATAAATTGTTATTCTTTAATTTTAATCAGGTAAGCAAACTGTAAGCTGTAAAGTGGTTCAGTTGCTTCGGTAGTAAACTATAGAATTGCTGTTTGAACCTGTTTCAGTCTGTTGTCTCTTAGGATAAATATGCTCAACCTTTTAACCATTTTTGTGAACAGAATGGATGGGCTTTGAGTTTTCCATGAGAGACGATCACTAGAGTAATATCTCATTAATTTGGTATTATTGTTTTGTTAGTAATCGAGCATTTATTTTAAAAATGTTTTTGAGCACATACTCTGATCTGGGACAGTCCTACATACTCTTCTGTATAACCAAGGTTTTCCGATAACCGATTTTTTTTAAATACTGAAATTTAATTTTAAATCCAGTCTTCCTCCAATATATATTAAATGCTTCCTGCCTGAATAAACACAGAATAAAGAATATTTTAATTTTTTTAAATATAGATTTAGATCCTTGTGTTTCCTGTGACTGCTGTAAGACACAAATTTGATGGCTTAAACCAACAGAAATTTATTCTCTCACAGTTCTGGAGTCCAGAAGTGCAAAATCAGTGTCACTCAGTGAAAATGAAGGTTTTGGCAGGGCCACACTCCCTCCAGAGGCTCTAGGGAAGAATCCATTCCTTGCCTCTTGAGGCTTTTGGTGACTACCAGTATTTCTTGGCTTGTAGCCAGGTCACTCCAGTCTTCAAAGCCAGTGTCTTCAAACCTCTCTGCTCCATTTTTGCGTTGCTTTCTCTTGTGTGCCTGTTTCTCCTCTTCTGACTCTTACAAGGACACTTGTGGCATTTAGGGCCCACCTGGATAATCCAGGGTAATCTCTCCATGTCAAGATCCTTAACTTAATCCCTCTGCAAAATCCCTTTTTCCAAATAAAGTGACACGTTGCAGAGATTAGGGTCTGATATCTTTGGGGGTCACTATTCAGCCTACTACAATCCTCAAGGAGCCTTGGTGGTGCAGTAGTTAAGAGCATGGCTGCTAACAAAAAGGTCAGCAGTTCGAATCCACCAGCTGCTCCTTGGAAATCCTATGGGGCAGTTCTACTCTGTCCTGTAGCATCAAGTGTATTTTTATGTCTGGTCATATGCTAGGTACTAGGTACAGAGATTTTAAAAATATAAAACGAATTATGTGATCCTGAGACCCTGCAAAGTTGTAAACTCATTTTACTTTTTATTTCTGCCTACCACAGGATCAGACTTTGGACTTGATTTTCAGAAATGTCTACTCCGCAGCTAAAGGAGATGAGGTTTTCTTTTAGGCAATCATAAATACTTTCTGATTTCTCACTCAGACATTGGGCTATGAATTTAGAGCTTTAAGTTTATTTTTCTCCAGGTTTTCTAGCTTACTTTGAAGCAACCAATGAACATCATTATACTTCTATTTCCAATAAAATGTTCTGTGGCAGCAACTACTTGATCACCAAAAATCTTGTCTTTATAGGCCTTTGATTACAAGTGTCTACCAGTGATTATTTTAAGTAACTTTCGCTTCTGCATAATGAACTACCAATGTCTTCTTTATTGCTTTTAATATGGTCGTTAATGGCTTTAAATCTAGTCAGATCAGAGAACTGATTTCAGATTCATATTCTTGTGGTTCTGTTACCCTGGAACCAATTTTGGTACCAATAAACTATGTCATGGTTCAATCAGGAACGCAGACCTGTTCGTTATTATGGAATAGGACTTATAATAGGAATAAAATCTTTTACAATTGTAGAAGCAGGGAAGGTAAAAGTCAAAGAAGAGGGTATTGGAGGATCACAGAAAGTCATTAACCAGCCCTCCTGAAACAATGGTGTTGATAAATAGGTTAGAGCTTTCAAAGGGCTCTCTGGGAAGCCAGCCATGTCCTGCTGTCAGAGTGTAACCATAAAGTGGAGCTAATAGAAAAGTTTATGGAAAGTTGTCACCTATGCATAGCTATTACTTCTATGTCCACAGCCAAGAGTCTGGTTGAGAGCCTAGGATCGCTGTTGTTCAGTAGGGTCAGCAGTTGGGAAGAAGAGCTGACCTAGAACAGGGGAGAGTGAGGATAAACTGGAACCTGCCACATTTAACCCTGACAGTCTTCAGAGAGTAATGACTCCTGCTTTACTTCTGCATATTCTTGTGTATATTTTGTTTTTGGCCAATTCTAACCTGGCACCATACAGAAAACATTGTTTTGGGAACTGTTTGAGCTTAACCAGGTTGACACAGTATAGTATAAGGTAACATCCTTTCCCTATAATGTTTTCCTATTGCACCCTATACTTTCTTGTCATAGCAGTTTGCATGGTTATACTGTTTATTGAATTACTTGAATAATATTTGTCTTCCATGCCAGAGACTAAGCTCCATAAAGAAACATTATATTTGTCTTATTTACCATTGTGTACCCAGTGCTCATTGGAGTGCTTGACTATAAAAAGTATGTCTTAAATATTTGATGGCTGATTGCCATATGAAAGGTTGTGTGATACTTTTTTTCCTCCTGTCCCCCCTCCTGAGTCTTGAGCTAATGGTTAGTGCTTGAGGACCTACCTGGCTTTTACACTAGTCTCTGTTCTTTATAGAATACCTTTAATGCCTGCCTTTAACTGTAAGTGATAGGAAATGACCACAACAAAAACTGGTGTAGCAGAATAGCATGGGGATGGGGAGATGGGAGAAGGAGTATGTTTTCACATGGCAGCACACATTGGAAAGGAATCTTAAAGCTAATCTTATTAGGTTATTATGTTTTTCCAGATCACCGACTTTATGTAAAGAGAATAATCATGCTGAAAAGTTTTTATCTAAAAATTAGAATGCAAATACGTTTTGTATTTGTATAGTTGAAGAAATATTTGAATGCTATTGATTTTACCTGATTATAGGAATGATATTTCTACAGTCTGTGGAAGAACAAGTTAAAAATTGTCACTACTGTAACTTACATACAGGTGATATTATATAAACAGACACCTGACACCTTGAGGAAGAAAGAGAAGGAGAAACAATGAAAAGTTGTTTAACTTAGAATTTAGTAGGAACCTGTAGGTGGTAAAGAGTGATTGTTACATGCTACTGAGCAGGATTTTGCTTTTCTTAAGCACTTAACAGTGAATGAATTTAGTGGAGGTTAATGTTTTTATTTCTGTTGTAGAAACATAAATGACCTGTTAAGTCATACTTCTTTCATTTATGTAAAAAATAAGATTTTAGAATTTTCCATGGGATTATTATGGATTTCAAGTACAACATATTGTTGCTACATTTTTGGAGTTACTATATTTACTTCTGAAGTAGTTAGAAAAGAAAATACATAAACATCAGTGTCAGAAGTAAATCCAGTTGTAATTAATTTTATATCATTATTTAGCATATAGGTTACAGTGTTAAAGTTTTGGCATCATGGAAGATAATGGACAAAAAATTGCAATCGAGCTCAGTATTTCGGTATGTATTTACTTTTTCTGTTTATTCACTTGGAAAAACTTTAAAAGGTTTTTTTTTTTTCTTTTTTGTAACAATCGCTATTTCTTACTGGAGCCTTGGTGACACAATGGTTAAGAGCTTGGCTGCTAACCAAAAGGTCGGCAGTTCGAATCCACCAGCCACTCCTTGGAAACCCTATGGGGCAGTTCTACTCATCTTGTAGGGTCACTGTGAGTGGGAACCAATTCCATGGCACATAACAACAACAGCAACAATTCTTACTGGTGTTTAATGTGAACTTACATTTGCAAAGCGCCTTATAACTTGTGTGTTTTCATGTGTGCTCTATCATGTCGTTACCTTTAATAGATTATTATACTTAGGGAGCATATTTCAGAAATAGTGCTTAGAAAATGTGAACATAGCATACTCTAAAAATCATAACTTAGAAATTTAGCCTTTTGTTAAAACAATAGGAGGAAAATTGATTTGCAGAATTTCTTAGATAATTTCTTTAAAAATTATTACAAATTTTATTACAGTTTTAAAACATTGACTAAACATTGAGTTTCTTAGAACTTTTAGTGATTAGAGATATATTAGCAAAACACAGCTATTACTGGCCTAGTAGAAAGATAGACTTCACATACATATCTAAAGAGCAGACATATCACATATTAGTAAGCCACTGGAAATAAGTCTATAGCCAGACTGATTTTCAGATTTACTTATAAGGATCTGTTATATCTTTGAGAAGATAAATAGAAATTATTAGTACATGGTGTTTTGACTATTTCAGAATTTAGTTAATGCATATCTGTAATCCTAATAATACTGTTATAAACAACTAATTTCTCACTAATCCTGATTAATTTGGGGTGTGGTGGTGGTGGTGGTAGTAGAACAATGTGTACTAATGATACATTTATATTATGTAATGTATACTCTTAAAACATTTAAAGCCTGTACAGTAACTCACATATGACTAAAAAGCGTTGTAAAAAAGCAAGGATCTTTGGGAGCTACTTTAATGAAAACGAGGGATGTGTGATTAGCATATCAAATGTATTTAAATTATAGCTGCGAGTGTTTTGAAGAGGAGCCCTGGTGGCGCAGTGGTTAAGGGCTTGGCTACTAACCCAGAGGTTGCTGGTTAGAACCCAACCATTAGAGGAAAGACGTGATGATCTGCTCCTGTAAAGATTGCAGCCAAGAAAACCTTATAGGACAGTTCTGCTCTGTCATGTGAGATCACTTGAGTTGAAAATTGACTCTATGTACCCAACAACAAAGCATTATGTTTGCTGTATCAAAAGAATAATAAACATACACATAGATTATAATTAAAGATTGTTATTATTATACAATAATTATATAATAGTTACATATTATATATTACTATGTGTATACTCAAAATTTATAATTTAAAAGTTCAAACAAAACTTTTAGATCAAAAATTGGGATTTTATTAATAGAGTCATAGTGTGCGCTGTGTTCTAGAACTGGAAGGGACCTGAGAAATCATATAAAATGTTAAATTTTAGAAAAATAGCTTTGAAATAGTTTTTATAACATTTAAGAGATAGTTGTTGAAAAAATTTTAAATGTTATTAAAGGGGAAATAAAAGAATCTTAAATGTTCATTAATAGAAGAATTAGTAAATAAAAGGCCCACTCATTTGATGGAACATTATAGAGCTGTTAAAAGAAGTGAATTAGGTCTATATATCAGCATAAGTTGCAGAACAATGCTGATTAAAATAAACAAGCTGCAGAATAATGTATATGGTCTGATGCCAATGTATGTATAGTGAAATACTATTTATAGCTTATGGCTGTATCTATATATTTTTATAAAAATTTAAAAGTAGACTAGAAATATATACTGTAAACTCATGATAGGAGCCCTGATGATGCCATGGTTAACCGCTCAGCTTCTAACCAAAAGGTTGGTGGTTTGAGCCTACCAATGGGCTCTGTGGTAGAAAAGACCATGCAGTCTGCTCCTGTCAAGATTACAGCCTAGGAGACCCAATGGGGCAGTTCTACTCTGTCATATAGGGTCTCTGCAAATAGAAATCCAGTGAATGGCACACAACAACAATAAAAAACTCATGATAATGATTTCCTGTGAGGAAGGGGTAAAGGAATAGGACTTGGAGTAATAGGAGTAAAGGGGACTTTGACTTTAGGTATAAAGTTTTATTCCTTTAAAAAAAGCAAAGCTTAAGCAAATGTGACAAGATTGGCAGTTGTTAATTCTGGGTGGTAGAATTATGGATATTATATTCTTGGTAGTTTTCTGTATTTTTTTTAAATTTCAACTTTTTTTCCTCAAGAAAGAGCTGTCATTTTTTTAGGAAGTGGGGGAATTTTGTGACTACAAAACTTTATTTTCTGTATAATTTAAAAAGCCCAAATGGTTGTTGAAATTCTTTTGGTAGGAATACAAAATGGTCTAGATAATTTATTCTGCCTCTGCTACTAAAGTCCTAAGGCTTTAGGTATTTACAAAAGATTGAAATAAGTAAAGAAAAATTATTGATAGGTTGTATACCAAAATATCGTTGGATGTCTTTGGGTGTCAGAATTATGGTGAAATTTTTACTTGTTAATACAATTTTTAGTTTTCTACATTTTCACATTAAATATACTACTTTTATAAGTAAATAAAATAATAAATATTATTTTTTAAAAACAATGAATAAAAACAAAAGTCATCAGAATGAAATAATGGTATTTACCCTAACAATCAGGAAGAGTGCATTTTTAAGGTCTTAGCTTTTAAGGTGAAAGTGGGGCACCTAAGCACTCCTGACTCTCTTGACCCTGCTATAAATCTGAGAGCTTCTCTGATGCCTAAATGGGGTCAAGGAATTTAGTAATCAGGATCCTTAAAGGAATGTAAGCAGTAACTTGTTGACTGGCTCGTAAGATTTTTTGATAGTAAATTGAATGAGGCTACATACATAAAAGAACCTAGCACATGTTCTTGTTGATTATTGTTGTTGTGTGCCGTCCAGTTGATTTAGACTCAGTGACCCTATAGGACAGAGTAGAACTGCCCCGTAGGGTTTACTAGGCTGTAATCTTTATGGGAGCAGATAGCCAGGTCTTTTCTCTTGAGGAGTGACTGGTGGGCTCAAACCACCGACTTTTCAGTTAGCAGCCTAGCACTTAACCATTGTGCCAACAGAGCTCATTTCTTGTTGATTATTGGTGTCTAAGTTTCTTAGATAGAAAGTTTTTCTGAAACAAAGAATAATCTGTAAACTAAAGGATTGGTATCACCTGAAAGTATAAAAATATATAAGTTTTCTCTTAGATGGTAAGAGAAGAAAATATAGAAAGGACTGAAATTAAATCTTAAACATGAAATTGTTTAAAGTTTGTTTTCAATTATAATGGGAAAATTTTGTAGACTTTCAAATGAAGAAACAATGTTAACCTATAAATTATAGAAGTGGGATATAATCTCTATTTTGATTTATTTCATATTGTAAAAATGGTGGCAGTGGCAGTGGTGGTAGACCTTGTCTGACTTCAGGGGGAAGAGAGAGAATCAAGATCAGCATCAACCCAAGGATGATTCCTATAAGGTGAAGGTCATACTCTCTTCAACTTTTTTACCAGTTCTGACACCAGCTGTCCCTCCCACAGCACTCTGCATCTCTGCTGGGTTCAATGATTTGTTGCAGTGGCCACACAGAACTCATAGACCATACTCACAGTTATAGGGTTTATTAGGGAAGTAACAGCTAATGATTCAGGATCAGGAATGACTCAGGATACAGTTCTTCAGTTGGGACAGCTTCTCGGCTGTGCCCGCAGGCAGACAGACGCTCTCTTGGCTCTCAGCCCCTCGGCCCCTTGGGCTCTCGGCCTCTCATCCTTCTCATCCGTCATGCTTGGACACGTTACAAAGCTCTTAGCTCTGCCAACAAGTGCCCAGAGGCACCCCACTCCACCAGGAAGCCTCCTGCACAAAGGACCTCAGCACTCTCGCTCTGTGGGCCAGGAAACCCACCATACTGTCTCACGCTGGTCTCCTGGTCTGCTGCCCTTGTTCGTCTGCCACTGGACCACTGCCCTGGTCGCCCTGTCATGCCGTCTCCAGTATTACAGCTGTCTCTGTCCCCTGGGTCTAGGAGGTTCTCAGTGTGGGGACTCTGGGTCGAAAGGATGCACTCTACTTCTGGCTCTTCTTCTTGATGGTAGTAAGGTCCCTTCTTTCTGCCTCAGAAATGGCTCCCTTTGAGCCTAGCAGGATGGCAAAACTGACCAATCTGCTCGTTATGGTTCCATGTACCTTATTTGCATTATTAGCAAGCTGTTCAATTCCCTTGATGGGCCACAAGCATCTTATTTGCATAGTCCCACCAGATCATTTTGTGGGAGTTACAAAGACCACGGCTAGAAGGGCCATATTAAAGTAATTCACTACACCACACATATGTATAGATTTGTTGTGCCTTTATGGTTTGTATTAAGTAAGTCAAAATACTTAGTTTTACACATATTATCTTCCAAAACCAAACCAGGTATTTGTATAATCTTTGTTTTAGTCATCTAGTGCTGCTATAACAGAAATACCACCAGTGGGATTGCTTTCACAAAGAGAAATTTATTCTCTCACAGCCTAGTAGGCTACAAGTCCAAATTCAGGGCATCAGCTCCAGGGGAAGGCCTTCTCTGTCAGCTCTAGAGGAAGGTCCTTGTCATCAATCTTCCCCCGGACTAGGAGCTTCTCCACACTGGAACCCCGGGTCCAAAGTTCACGCTCTGTTCCCTGCACTGCTTTCTTGGTGGAATGAAGTACCCTTGTGTCTCTGCTCGATTCTCTCTTTTATATCCCAGAAGAGATTGGCTTAAGACACTATCTAATCTTGTAGATCTAATCAATATAACTGCTGCTAATCCATTTTATTATATCATAGTGATAGAATTTACAACACATTGGGAAATCACAACAGCTGATAAAATGGTAAGACAATCATATGATACTGGGAATCATGACCTAG